CTTTTGTTGCCAGTTCAGGGAATCCAGATGGTTGAGTATCAGAGTGTTTCATCTCATTTCCCCTTGGGGTTGCTGTAGTTTATCTGGAAGTCTGGTTTTGAGACTTGTTTTGTGTCTCTTCATTTTGACAGGGGGGGTTGTTGGGGGAGGCAGGGGGGATGTGTGCTGTTGGTGCCTGTGGGGCTCACCTCCTGTGCTTTGGGAGTGGTGGTATGGTGGCCCGGAAGCCCCTTCCTCTGCCCTGGGAGTGATGGTACAGTGGCCCAGAAGCACTTACCTCTGTGCTGGGAGCGGTGGTAAGGCGGCCTGGAAGCCCCTACCTTTGTGTTGGGAGTGGTGGTAAGGTGGCTTGGAAGCTCCTACCTCTGTGCTGGGAGTGGTGGTACTGTGGTCAAACTATACAAATAGAGGGTGAGCATGAAAATTTAATCAGGAGTAAGATCATAGATTGCTTCATAAACCCTACTAATGTTTGGGCTTATCTTGTAGGCAGCAGGTAACCACTGGAAAGTTTTAAGCTAGTGCTGGTGTGTCAGACAAGTCTGCCTTGAAAGTGATGCCTGTATGGAACCTTTGGGTATGGAACTGTTGTGGAAGTAGGGTATGGAACTGTTGTGGAAGTAGTGACTTCTTCAGAGCCCCTTTGTAGAGTACTCAATAGGAGCCAGAATTCTCACACACTTAAAAAAAATAACAATAGATTGGTTGACAGGCTGAGATTGAGGCCCTATTTCTGTGTTGTGGATGATAAGACCTTGGAGACAAAGATGAGAGATAGGGAATAGCCCAGATGACCTTTGAGTTTCTATCTGAAGTTAGAAATGTCAGCAGCTGAGGTAAGAAATACAGAGAAATACAGATGGACTGTTGGGTTCAATGAAAAAAGGTTTTACTTTGGCCATATTGTGTTTGAAGTGTTTATTAAGCATTAACTATTTCCTTGGCTTAGAAAACTTCCCATATTTAAGCTGAAACCTTTATATCTCATCTGCTTTCTTGTTTTTACCCCATAGTCTGCCAAACTCAACTATCTGCACTTTCAGACAAAAAGATTTTCTGTCTCTATCCCTTTGCACATGGTTCTCTTCACCTGGCAGGCTTCCCTTCTATCTCTCCTGGTAGAAAACTTTCTGTCCTTAGGAACACTCTTGGAAGGTCTACTTAGTTTCTGCAATCTCTGTAGCACTTTATTTATATTTATATAAGTGTAAGCAGTTACTATTCTGCAGCTCATTGTGTATTTCTCTTATCACCATCCTGGAGCTTACTCATCTTTATTTCCTAATTGCCTAGGGTATTGCGTTGAACACAGCATATCCCCAGTAAATGTTATTGGTTTGAGATGAACTAAAAGAAGATTGTGGTTGGTTGTGGGAGACCATTGAATGTTGATCTAGAGGGGTGCATTTGCTGCATTCACAACTCTTCAATTTTCTCCAGTAATTTTGTTAACTCATTGAGGGTTGTTTTTGGCGAAAAGTAAGGAACACATGCAGTTATCAATGGCTTCAGAAAGAGACATCTCATAGTCTCTCCCCAAGACTGGATGATACCTTTTATTTTGACAGATTATTGGTTTTACTTATCTACAATTTTTATTTTTTTCTGCTCTTCTAATTTCTTTCGATCCCTGCTGAAGCTTTAGCTAATTAACATGGTTTAAATGTCTTATATCTTATTTCATAAATTAAAATTAATGCAGGAAGCAAAAGTAGCCCTGAAGGCTCTTTTAAGGTGTTGAAGGAAGGTTAAAATTCAAAGTGATTTAGCTCATAAACAAGAAAGACATAGCTGTTAACATGGTCTTTACCACAATGAAAGTAGAATTAAAAGAAAAAAATAGAATTAATTTGGGAAAGAACATGGTTACAGAATAGAAATGTGTTATCCAAGTTGGTATTAAAAACTTTCTACAAAGCTAGTATCTGAGCTCCTAAAGCAATTGTTACACTGATGCAACAAATGAAAATAAATCACAGCCTCATGTCATATTCTGCAGTGTTCCTATTATGTATCAGAATGGCTCTATATAACAGCAGTTGAAGGCTTGGTTTACTAAGCACATCAATTTAGTTTTCAGTATCTTTGGAGCACCTAGAGAAGCACACCTGAAGTAGGAAAGATTACAAACCATTTTTTGAACTCTAAACTTGAAAATATAAATATTGTAAACCATTTAAAATGTACATGGTTTTTTGGAATTTTACACTTGCAGAATTAATAAACTGGGAATTTCTGTTCTTTTCATATTACTCGAAACCTCTAATTTAGCACCATTTCAGTGAGGAGTTCTTTCCTGTATTTTTGATGAAGGTGTGTCTTTGTAGCCTAGCACAAATTTATAGACTAAGGGAAAGTGAATAAACCAAAACTCAAGCTGAAAGCCTGGAGATTTTTCATATGAGAGGGACCTTTAATTTTTGAAAAAGAGAGAAAGGGGAGGTTGTGCATCAGTAAAAAAATGTAAAGTTAGTAAAACATGAGCTTGGATTTTACATTAGAATCATCTGTGCTGTAGGTTCAAAGCTAAAGTCTGAGTTCCTTATAAAAATAGAGTATATTTTATATGAAAAAGGAGAATTATGAATTATTTTACAGAATAACTTGAAAGCTAATTTTACTGGCTGCTGGTATTCTCTCAAAATTGGGAGACCTTTTCAAGTAACATATGAACCCTACCTCCTTGGTGAGAATCATCTGTTCTAGTGAATCACAGCCACTGATGGGAGTAACTTGTAGTCCTAGATGAGTTGGGATGAAAAATAAGAAGGTTTAGCTTGTTTGCTTGCTCTTTCTTTCTTTCTTTCTTTCTTTCTTTCTTTCTTTCTTTCTTTCTTTCTTCCTTCCTTCCTTCCTTCCTTTCTTTTTCTTTCTTTCTTTCTTTCTTTCTTTCTTTCTTTCTTTCTTTCTTTCTTTCTTTTCTTTCTTTCTTTCTTTCTTTCTTTCTTT